GATTTCGAAGGGGCAGAGGAACTAGAGACAAAATTGCTAACATGTGCTGGATTATGGTGAAAGCCAGAGAGTTCCAGAAAAACATCTACTTCTGCTTCATTGACTACGCAAAAGCCTTTGACCGTGTCGACCACAACAAACTATGGCAAGTTCTTAAAGAAATGAGAGTGCCTGACCACCTTATCTATCTCCTGAGAAATCTATACTTGGGACAGGAAGCAACAGTTAGAACTGGATATGGAACAACTGATTGGTTCAAAATTGGGAAAAGAGTATGACAAGGCTGTATATTGTCCCCCTGCTTATTTAACTTATATGCAGAATACATCATGCGAAAGGTAGGACTGGAGGAATCCCAAGCCAGAATTAAGATTGCCGGAAGAAATATCAACAACCTCAGATGATACCACTCTGATGACAGAAAGTGAGAAGGAATTAAAGAACCTCTTAATGAGGGTGAAAGAGGATGGTGCAAAAAATGGTGTGAAGCTCAACATCAAACCTGATGTTAGGAAAGTGTGAAGGCAAGAGGAGAAGGGGATGACAGAGAATGAGATGGTTGGACAGTGTCATCGAAACTACCAACATGAATTTGACCCAACTCCGGGAGGCAGTGGAAGACAGGAGGGCCTGGTGTGCTCTGGTCCATGGGGTCATGAGGAGTCGGACATGACTTAACAACTAAACAACAACAACAACAACCATATTTATGGGAGCAGCTTGCAGCAAACTGGAAGTTTCCCAGGTGGGTGAGGGCTTGTCTCCCTACCTGTTTTGGAGTGGGCTAAAAAAGGATCACTAGGAGGTCCGGTAGGCCATTTGGTGCCATTTGAAGCAACTCTCTTATTAAGCAAAAAAAAAGCATGCTGCTTATTAAGCCACTTAATGATATGGTGACGCTGCGGGTTAAACCGCTGAAGCCTCTGTGCTGCAAGGTCAGAAGACCTGCAGTCATAAGATCGAATCCACGCGACAGAGTGAGCCCCCATCACTTGTTCCAGCTCCTGCCAACCTAGCGGTTCGAAAGCATGCAAAATGCAAAAATGTGAGTAGATAAATAGGTACCACCTTGGTGGGAAGGTAAACAGCATTCCATGTCTAGTCACACTGGCCACGTGACCATGGAGGATTGTCTGTGGACAAACGCTAGCTCTATGGGTTGGAAACAGGGATGAGCACCGCCCCCTAGAGTCAGACACGACTGGACAAATTGTCAAGGGGAACCTTTACCTTTTTAATGATACTGAAGATTAAAAGAGGAAGGCTTCCTTTGGTCTGTTCCCATTGATCACATGTGCTGAAAATGAAACAAAGTAAAGCAACGCTACCTACACCAAAAAAAAGTAGAAACCCCTTGACTGGGGCCAGAAAGGTACAAGCAGAAACTTTCTGGGAGCAGGCTAGTGCATGCCAATAAAGAGGTCATTTGATTGCCATCTTTGAAAACACACCAGCACATCCTTGCAGGAGCCCAAATACCTGTCTGATTTTACTCTCAGTCCCGGCATCTGACCTGCCTTCTGTTTCTGTTCAAGGCATGTTCGTGAGGATCCCCGTTTTGTCTAACAGCATGGATACCCTTTGGGGACCTGGATGGAAAGATTCCCAAATGGATGGAAGGGTTGCTTTAAGAAAGATCACTCTGACCAAAGCAACCCTTTCCAATGCAGTCAGATGTGATCCTTTCTACTTAGCTGATCACACTCTCAGTCTGAATTAAGTTAAGCCAGTCCTTTGGTTTGACAAGGGATTTGACTCATTTAACAATTCCAGCAAGAGCAGTCAGAGTAGCGCACATGATCTAGGGTGGATAATTTGTCAGGAAAGCAAGTGTATGGGGTAGGAGCCAAGAAGCAAGAATACATATTCACAAACCACTCGGGACACCACAGAGTCCACTAAGGGAGGGACATTGAGGCTCTGGTACTGTTAGTCTGCCAACAAGGATGTCCCTCAAAAGAGCATGATTCTGAATTAATCTCTGGTGTATTGTTTTGCGAATGACAGTATAGATGTGGTCATAAATAACAGATCTGCTAACTTTAGAAGAACTTCTGCAGGGTAAGTCCTGACATGGGGAAAATGATTTGCCTTTCCTTCATTTCCTCTAGTGATCTTTGGGGCATACTTTGGATGAATGCATACACAAAATGAATAAATCAGCCAAAATTGCTTCCTGTTAGAAAACATATGTTTATGAAACTGATTCAGTTGTCTGTGTACACATTTATCATCTTACAGAGCAAGAATAAATAATGTGTGCAGATCATGTATCAAAATTACAGAATGGTCTGCAAATGCAATCATACTTTGGTGCATACACAAAATGAATAAATCAGCCAAAATTGCTTCCTGTTAGAAAACATATGTTTATGAAACTGATTCAGTTGTCTGTGTACACATTTATCATCTTACAGAGCAAGACAAGAAAATGTGTGCAGATCATGTATCAAAATTACAGAATGGTCTGCAAATGCAATGTTAAGAATTATTCAAAAGCTGAACAAATATAAAGGCTTCTGAAAAGAGTCTCCTCCTGTAGCATCCTTTCCAATACAGAAGTTAATGCATGGCAGCTTTGTATTATTGCTGCTATATAATATGTCATTAAGTTGCTTCCTACCCATGGCAACCCTGTGAATAAGTGACCTCCAGCTTTGCAGGCACTTCAGCCTAACTTGTCTGTCTAACAAAGTGGTCCAGGATCTTAATGGCTATGCCAAATGTCTCAGCTTAAAACAATGGCTTTACTCAGAATCTAGTTACAAATACAATCAAAGGTGAATTACTTTTTATTGACAAGCATTGCATCTCACTGCTATAACTTTTGATTTCTAGAATGTGGCACCAGGCCAATTGTGAATGATGTAGAAGAGGGTAGTCGGATTATCGGTGGACATGATGCTCAGCTTGGTGCATGGCCATGGCAAGTTAGTCTGCAAGTCTTCTTCAGAAGTGTAGGATATCGCCATATTTGTGGTGGATCTTTAATTAATAACAACTCAGTGCTTACAGCAGCCCACTGCATTAGAAATTATGTGTATGTATATTTCAATTGAAAGTCTTTTTCTATGTGTTAATTCTGAGACGTACAGTATATTGAATTAAACAAAGCATTGAACTTTGAAATAGGCATCTACATTTAGGTACTTGGAACATAATAGCATCTATCATATACTACCCTGTTTCCCTGAAAATAAGACCTAACCTGAAAATAAGCCCTACTATGATT